TACACCTCTTCATTGGTGGTCAGTGTTGGCTAAATAAATCCCCCATGGTGTTTAGTGACAGCAAATATAAACCCCTCATTTTCATTGGTGTTCAGTGGGACACATTGTTAGTAAAGGAAGTAGGGATTAGAGCTTTAAAGTCTTCATCCTAATATAGCAGAGAAGCACATTATCACCTCCAAGCAGTTATCAAACCACCTATCAAAAAAAAAATTATCTAAAATCAGTGTGTCACCTGGTGACGAGGGAGCATGGAGCCGGCTTCTGGGCTAATCAGGAAGTCGGCCGGTGAGTCATTACACGCTGCCCTCTATGAGGTGAGTGAAAAGCACTCACCTCATAGTTCTCCTTTAATGGGACTTTCGGTATCGGCAAGTTCCAAAAAAAAATATCAATACTGAAAAACCGGTATCAGTGCATCCCTACAAACAAGTAAATAAAAATATCCAGTTTTACATTATATACATTTTGAACAGTTTTCTCACATTTACATCATTCTAGTTTTAATTCTTCATATTAAACTTCCACCAGCCTTTGCATAGTAGCTGAGTGTCAAATCAAGGTGACAAAGTGTGTCTGAACATATTTGAACCACCAAATAAAACAAGACACCACACCCTCTGTCTCCGGGGTGGCAATCTTTCCGTCCATGATATTACACCCTAAAAGCCCCGTTTCTTGTTAGATTTTGTGGAATAGTAAGTGTGTCTGCACTGGCTGCTGGCATGAGATAAGAGTTATATGAACATATATTCAAATAGGTGGTCTTGCAAGGTGTTTTTATTTACCATAGTTTTTATGTTGTCTTGTTGCAGGCACTGGTTTACTGCTAACGGCGGCCTAATGTGTGCCTGCAGTCAATAGAGTAACTATAGCCATAGGAAACGATGCAACTGCTAAGGGACCCAGAACAGAAGCATAGGGGACCCAGATATGTCTGGCTCCACAGTAATGATTGCAGACAGCAGTAGCATTTGGCAAATACATTTTGATTACATTATTGTATATGAAGTTTGGGATGATATATGATTGCTATGAAAGCAATTTGTATTCTGTATCACAAAATGAATTATCTTCGAGATGGAGATTAGAGAGACAGGTGGTGCCCTTAAAGGGGTCCTATTACATATAGTTACAGCCCTGCCTTTGGTAATATTACTTACTTGCAGCAGAAGGCAATTCCAACTGCTTAGGTACTGCTAGGTCCTTCTTGACCAAAAACATCCTGGAATTTAAAATATGCACGGCTAATTCTTGTGGTCTTATACTCTTGCCCTCCTACACCTCACTATTGGCTCACCACTGTGATGGGCAGCCTTACTGTGCAATGGAGAGGCGTGGAAGGGATGGGACAAAGCTTTTAATCATCTCTTAAAAATATGAGGTCAGCTACCTACCTGAATATGCTGAATGACCAGGTTTTTCCATCAATGGATTTTTTCTTCCCTGATGGCACGGGCATATTTCAAGATGACAATGCCAGGATTCATTGGGCTCAAATTGTGAAAGAGTGGTTCAGGGAGCCAGATACATCATTTTCACACATGGATTGGCCACCTGAGTCCAGACCTTAACCCCATTGAGGACCCTTGGGATGTGCTGGAGAAGACTTTACGCAGTCGTCTGGCTCTCCCATCATCACTACAAGATCTTGGTGAAAAAAGAATGCATCTCCGGTTGGAAAATGTTGTGACATTTTATAAGCTTATCAAATTGATGCCACGGCGAATGCGTGCCGTAATCAAAGCTAAAGGCGGCCCAATGAAAAATGAGAGTATGTGACTTTGTTTTGGCCAGGCAGTGTACTATTAAAAGTGTTTGGTTATATCTGTTCCCATTTCTTTCTGTGGTCTACAGAACTCCTCTTCCCTATGTTATGGAGAAGAGGAGGGGGGGAGGTGTCTTAAGGTGAATGTAGGGTGGGAGTGTTAGTGACAATAGTGCTCCTCCATATGCGCAAATAAGTGCTGTCAGCCTAGCACAGGAAAAAATGCTGCTTGCTATTTTTTGCATTTGGAGTGGACCGGAGGCAAAGTTTTGCCATGCGTCTGATCACACTGCAGGCGGGGGGGACGTGGAACGCCCCAGAACACGGGGAAGTTTTTGGTGGGATTGCGGTGCATTCCAGCAGCTACCGCTCTGGAACGCACCGCATTCGGTGTGAACAAGCCCTAACCATACTCCCCCATAACCTAATCTCCTAGCGCAGCCATAAAACTTGAGCTTTTAAAGGATTTCAACAAGGTGCAAACGTCACCTTCCTAAAATGCATTAAAATCTTTACACTACTGCTGTCAGCTACAGTGTACAACAATGGCAATCGCATTATTCTTTTATAGTGCCCACTCACACCTGTGCAACATAATGCACTGCGATTTTTGGAGTGATGCAGATGCTTCTTTTTGTGCTTTTTAGCCCCCCAGACTTGAATAAGAGCGCATTAAAAACACATTAGAATTGCATATAACATGCATTTTTGCACCCTGTACTTTATTTGACCCCCTATGGCTAAGACAAAAACAAATAATGCATTAAAAATGGGCAACAGAAATATGCTAAGAAAGACATGAAAATGCTGATGTGCAAACAGAGACTTAGGGGTTCATTTATAAAAGTTCTGTTGGGCACCATTCAAACTGCACTTGTGTCTTTAGATGGCACTGATGAGTATAGGAACTTTTATAAATGTACCCCTTAGTGTTGAAAGGACATAACATATTGTCTACTTTTTTTTATCCCTTGCTTATTGCATCACTAAGCTTATTCAGCAAAACAGTACAAACCAAACAATCAAACTTCCCCTTTCACCGATACTGAGCAGTACACCATGACCACTGTTTCCTTCCATTGAATCTGATTCACTTTGCACACTTTTTGTTGCCTAATTAGAAACATTAATAATTACGGATCTCCTACAAGGGAGCGTGCAATCCAGTCCCGGCTACTACACGCAAATATTCACATTTCAGTTTAATGAAATTATATAAATGAAAGATGTTATGAATAAACTTTACCTTTACAGTACAAATAAATGACAGGGATGCTTTCAAAGTAAGACTAAAACATGTATGAATGGGGATGATTTACTAATGTAATACATTTTTTACTCAATGAAGTTGAATTCGGGTCAATCATCTAATCATGTGCAAAGGAAATTCCAATTTTTTAAAAATTCTTCTGCATGTTTTTAAAGTCAACACAGTGAGAAATGTGCTTTTTAAGTATATCACTTGCGTGTTAGACTAAGAAGCTAGAAATTCAACTTCTTTGCATGTGCTTGCTCCGGCTCGCTACCGGCATTGGTTTGCTATAATGCAGGAAAACGTGTGAAAAATATAATGTGGGCTCAGTGACCATTGGTTGCTATACAGAACTGAGTCTTCTTTGTGTACATGGGGCTCTGGTGAATTGACTGTTCAGAAGAGCTTGACAAAGTTTAACTATCTTTGAATTGCAGACATCTCCTAGAGAGCTAGATAAATGGTTATAGGACAGCTTAATCTTCTAGAAAGCAGCTGAATCTAGCTTTGGTCTTGACCAGGATTGTATGTACCATAAAGGCACCTATGGGCCAGTACCTAGGCCAGTGAGGTTAGAGGAGCAACATCAACTCTCCAAATATACAGACTGTAACCATTTCCCTATGTTGTTTCCCTGCTCTGACCACCTATGGACATTTTGTGGCACAATTCAGCAAGAGAAATGTAGGGTTAAGAGAGTCGAGAGTAGGGATGAGCTCAGGTTTGGACTGAACCCAGTCCAGACCTGAGCTCCTCCAAACCCAGAAGGAGCTCCTTCCAAATGCCGAAGGGTAATTCCCCACCTACAGAATGACATAAGCAAAGGGGCAGGCTGCAGTGACATCATTGACCTTATATGGTTACTTGACTATATTTGGTAAACTACATTTAACCAATATGGCTATGTGGCCATATAAGGCAAATTATGTCAGCACAAGCATTCCACCCCTAATTTTTTTAACAGTACCACCCTTTTATTTTCATGCAGCTGGGTGGCGGGGGATGCCTGGCCCACAGCTGATTGGGTGGAATTGCTCATAGCACTTCCTTGTTCGGAGGAGCTCAGGTTCAGACTGAGTATGGCCTGAAGCTGAGCTCATCCCTAGTTGAGAGGTGTCAGAAGGCTTTATACAGTACAGGTAATGATTGTCATCATCAAGTATGCCTTCTGTTGCAGGTCTAAACACAGTCCTGTCTTGATATAGGTTGATCTTCCATCCCAATACCCTTCGTAATAGATAAATATATGCTAAGTAAATCCTGTGTTTGTTACTTCACAGAGAGCACTCAAAACCCCACGCTGGATCCAGAAGGAGTTGTGGCATCCAATGTAGAATCCAGTTCTTTGCAATCCCCTGAGGTCCAAACAGACCAAAAACAAGAACCTCTGGCATCCAATGTAGAATCCAGATCTTTGCAATACCCTGAGGTCCAAACAGACCAAAAACAAGAACCTGCGGCATCTAATGTAGAATCCAGTTCTTTGCAATCCCCTGAGGTCCAGTCAGGCCAAAAACAAGATCATGTGGCATCCAATGTAGAATCCAGATCACCAAAAACAAGAACCTGCGGCATCCAATGTAGAATCCAGTTCTTTGCAATCCCCTGAGGTCCACTTAGGCCAAAAACAAGAACCTGTGGCATCCAATGTAGAATCCAGATCTTTGCAATACCCTGAGGTCCAAACAGACCAAAAACAAGAACCTGCGGCATCTAATGTAGAATCCAGTTCTTTGCAATCCCCTGAGGTCCAGTCAGGCCAAAAACAAGATCATGTGGCATCCAATGTAGAATCCAGATCATTGCAATCCCCTGAGGTCCACTTAGGCCAAAAACAAGAACCTGTGGCATCCAATGTAGAATCCAGATCTTTGCAATCCCCTGAGGTCCAAACAGACCAAAAACAAGAACCTGTGGCATCCAATGTAGAATCCAGTTCTTTGCAATCCCCTGAGGTCCTGACAGACCAAAAACAAGAACCTCTGGCATCCAATGTAGAATCTAGTTCTTTGCAATCCCCTGAGGTCCACTTAGGCCAAAAACAAGAACCTGTTAAAGAGTCATCAGGAGGTGAGCCATTGCCAGGTGCCCCAGTACTTTCTCAAGAGAGAGATCCTGGCAGCAACAAAAATCAAGGTAAGCATCTCCCTTCATTTCATATTTTGGCTATTTAAGTTATGTGTAGATATGTTCTGCTATATTTAGTTGTAATTGCCATGAGCTGATGTTTTGTGGGTAGTAAGGGGCCACATTTATAAGTTTCATTAGTACTAATTTTGCTTAAATAAAACCAACACCAAAGTTCAGTAAAATGATGTCTACCACTAAAGTTGCTTGTAAATACACAGCCCCAGAGGATAGATCATAACCTGCAGTGCTGAGTAATCTCTTATGAATGACAACGCTGGTCTCCAGAGGGGCCCCTGATGCCCGAGACCAGTGCTGTCTCTTAAAACTCAATGTCCTTGCTAGCAGCATGGTCAGACAGAGGTGGTAAACACTCCAATCACACTACTTGGCAATGGCAGGATGGATTTGAATGGGACCAAGTGCTATAATATGCATTTGGTCCCCTAGTAGATGAAATATACATTTTTGCAAGACTTCTTCTAATGCAACCAACATAAGCTGCAACATATTACATTTTTGGTTTGGGGTTTAGATGCACTTTAACAGTGTTGCTTGGTTGGATAAATAAAGATTAATCCTGGGGCAAATGCTGTTCAAAGTTCCATTCCTTCCTGTCCCCCACACCTGTCATGTGACCATTGCTAAAGGGGAATATCAGCCAATTTCAACTCTGACCCTCCCCTACAGCATAGATTACATGTCCCTATTCTTTAGGATATGTGTGCACAAGAGAAGGGAGCCTGGAGCAGCGTTTTCTCCAGAAAAGGCATTTCAGCCACTCTGTTACTCTTCATCTATCCCTTTAAGCAAGACTGTTAGCATTCATGTTAATGTTTGAATATAGTTTAACTGTAACTAAGGATATTATTGTAATTATACATGACAAGCAGGAGCAATTTTATAAATCAAATTGTGTCTCTTCCTTTAAAAGCATTTAATAAACAGTCTGATGCATCTCTTTAATTTCTAATCTGTATAAGTTAAATGATTGCTTCCAGTAGAGTGGGCCTTTTATGTTTTCTAATATTGATTTTCTTATCCTATTAATCTTAGAAGATATAATCTTCTCTCCATTGTGTTCTCTGTAGGTGGGAGAGTGGAAGAGATTTCAGCAGTCCCAGCAGAGACCTCTTTGGCTGTAGAAGAGGCATCTTCAGTCCAAGAACAGAGCTCTCCAGTCCAAGAACAGAGCTCTCCAGTCCAAGAACAGAGCTCTCCAGTCCAAGAACAGACCTCCCCATCCACAGAAGAGGCTCTGCCAGTGAAAGACGAGACCACCCCACCGGCCGAAGACCTAGAGGGAACCATAAAAGCAGTGCACATTGCTGACTTTGAGACGGTTTGTTTCAGAAAGATCACACGCTGAATCATGGGCTGTGCATGTCTCCTCTCTCCATCCTTCCATCGTCTCTCTCTCTCATATTAACATTCTGCAACTGTCACTTTCCATACTGCTGAACTGCTGCCGGTGTCACACTAATACACTGCTGCTGTCTGTCTGCATGGCTGCTTTATACAGATTTGGACTGGGGCAGGGGACTGAGTGATATTTACTGATTCAATATCAGTAATGTAATATATTTCACACGCTGTAAGTGGCTTTCCATTTTTTTTTTCAATCAACTGGAAAGCCCTTTTTTATTATTTATTTTATCAGGATTGTATTGTATTATGACTGGAAGGCGGACTGTGCATCATTTCGGGATCTATTTATTTTTGTAAGATGCAGTGCATTAAACCAGTCTGAGTCAGTCTGGTAGGAAGTGAGGGTGACTGTTCTTTAGATGCATACAGAATGGAATTCCATTTATCACAAAATTGTCACATTAAAGGGCTCCATGAAGATGGACATGCAGCTGACCTAACAGCGGTGCATTCCCTGATCCTCATGGAATTTGTAGGGCTGTGCTCTGAGCTATTGAAGAAGGGCTACCCACCCCCTGTATGCACTGATGACTGATGCCATCTCCCAGGATCAACAGCCACCAAACCCGTAACAGAGACTTGCAAGATCACTTGGTTTGGCAGTGGCCTGTACCCCTCACACCCACTCCTCTTGAACTGATACTCCACCATTAACCCTAACTGGACTGATGACTACCTTGAAAACCTCCACAGACTGAAAGAGACTTACACCCTTCTAGAAGGATTCCTAAACACCCTTCCCACCCTCTTTTCCTCCCAGAAAGGTGACCTGCTGGACTGACAGCCACCTGACATGATAATAGGTCTGTTTTTCCAAGGAAGAGTGCGCCATAACAGTGACATAATGGGTCAGCTCTTCCTAGGACTAGACCAGAGTGTAATTATGACATTGTGATGTGATAATGGATCAGTCCCTTCTAGGACCAGAGTGTAATAACAGTGAAATGATAATAGTTCAGTCCTTCCTAGGACCAGAGTGCAATAAAGACAGTGACATGATAAAGGGTCAGTCCCTTCTAGGACCACAGTGCAATAATGACCATGACATGACAAAGGGGTCAGTTCCTCCTGAGATCAGAAAAGAATAATAATAACAGTGGCAAGATAATGGGCCAATCCCTTCTAGGAGCAGAGTGCAATAATGACAGTGACATGATAATAGGCCAGTCCCTCCTAGGACCAAAGTGCAATAACGACAGTGGCATGATAATGGGCAGTCCCTCCTAGGATCAGAATATAATCATAACAGTAAGATGATAATGGGTCAGTCCCTCCTAGGACCAGTGTGTAATGATGATATTTTCATGATAATGGGCCAGTTCCTTTTAGAACCAGACAGTTGCTTTAAAATATCCATCATTTCGAGGACAGTGTTATATTGACGATGATGAAATGTTAATGATTTGGTCCCATTTGGGAGTAGTATATGAGCAGTGTTACATAGTTAAATGACATTTATAATAATATTTTAAGAATATAAGCAGTCTGTTGAATAGTAAGTCCTCCACAAAATGATAAATCATACTTGAGTGGATGCTGGTGGGTTGGCACTAGTGTGCCTAGTGTAGGGTGCAACTAAGTTCATCATAGCCAAGATCCCACTTCAACAGTGTTTAAGTCAGATAAGGAACAAGCAGACAATCTGCAATGTCAGCCTAAAGTACAGGTACAGTATAAATAATATTAAATACCATGTACAGGTTTTCACACTCTGCTATCAATTATACCTCAAGACAGGACTCAGATGCAGCACAAAGCCCCTGCTGGGCTTTCTCTGCTGTGCCGTGCTGCATATTTACCACCTGCAGCCTACAAACCCAATAGAGATGAATATGAGGGACTCGGCTCTTCTGCTCATCCCTGTAGAACTGTTAGCTTCACCCTTGCTGCAATGATAGGGGAATGGTTATAAACACTGCCCGGCACATTAGAAAGAGCCTGTGCTGCATATGAGGTCTGTCTTAGAGTACAATAGATTGCAGGGGGCACGGGGGAACTGGTACAAACATTTTAGTATAAAAGCACACCTATACTTTAAAGTGGGACTCCCCCCCCCAATGCTCCCCCTTACTTTTTGTGCTGGGTTATCTAGAAAAATCATACTCACATGTCCATTGATCTAGTGGTGTTCTGTAGGGATCCACCTCTCCACTTTTGTTCTTGTCCACTCTCCTGTCCTTGCAGCCGGCCCTTTGATGATGTGCATAGTCCACAGTGCATCATCAGGGGGCCCATGGCAAGAGCCAGGAAGAGATAGCACCACTGTAGAGTACCCTGAGGCCTCTTGTGATGTGTAATGTGTGTATCCCAGGAGGCTACGGGCAATGAATAGTCATTTTCGCCCAGTCAAAAATGCAAGAAGTGCACAGAGGGTTCCCTGAAAAAGGTTATTTAAAAGAAAAAATAATCATAAATATCTAATTGTTGGGGGGAGGGCGTAAGAGTGGAATGATAGAAAACGAAGGTGGGGAGAGTGAAGGTCCACTTTAAATACTGATATATATATATAGTTTCTGCCCGGCCTTCTTGAAAAGTGGAAGAAATGTATGTACAGCAAGTTGGCCAGTGAGTGCTTCAGATGTATACTTCTATATAGATCTCTAAAGTCAACCAATTGTCTACTTTTTTCTAGTTATTAGCTCATCTGTCATTTTTATGAGGCGGAACTGGTGAACTGCATCAGGCCAAGTAATTCACTGGCATGTTCATGTAAACATCAAAAGCAATTTAGATGGATGACAATACGCAAGTACAGTTTTAAAAGATTCACTGGGACTGTGGTAATTACTGTCAATAAATAATGTAGTACTTCTATGACTGAAGCACAGTGCAGCATTATTACATAACTGTTTTTGTATGCTCAGACATCCTAACCTGCAAAACCTTATTTCAGGGAGGTGCCCTTCTCATTTCAGGGAGGTGCTCTTTCTGTTTTGAGAGTAGTCCCACTGCAAGGGTTAAGAAACATTTTACCTGGAGTTCTGCTTTAAAGAAGAGTTCACTTCCCCCTCCTCATTTATGCCCCCCCCCCCCCAAAAAAAAAAAAACAACAACAAAGCCAGCAGTCCAGCATTATTGGGATCCAATGCTTTGCTGCTTTTATACCCGGTACCGTGTCATCATCTTCTTGTACCTTCCAGGTCTTTTCCAGATAGCTGGCCTCCTGATGCTATTCCTTGGTACATGCACAGTAGAGTACCCTGAGACCTCCTAGGAAATGTGATATGGATATCCCAGGACGTTGCAGGAAGCTGCATATGTCAAATTTGTTATGCTGATCCAAAGACTTTAATACTAGCTACTAATAGCATCTCTTATATCTGAAATCAGATGAGGAATTTCGACTCTCCTTTGACTTTACTACCTGCATGCTTGTTCCAAAGCAGTGACTTGGAATACACCAAGGAAATTGCTTTATAAGAAGAGGATGTCAGCAATAGCATCCTTTTTGTATTTTGCTCAGTACAGTTTTCCTTTAATCTGAAGAAGCTCAGGGGAAAGGCACTTTATCTCATTAGTGAACTGCTGCAACTCCAAGCACATTTCCTTTAAATCCCTTTTGCCTTGAGTACCTATTTGCGTGATACACAATGATTCATTTCTGGCTGCGACAGATATCTCCATGGCAACTAAGTAATATGCCCTGAAAACCAGAGAATTGTCCTCCTACTTGACGGCCAGTTTGTAGACAAAACTGTCTGTCTGTGATTATGGATCACATCAACGGCCTTGGGGCTGGAAACCCAGAGGATGGAAAACTGGAAGAAAACCGAAGATGTTGCCCATAACGACTAATTAGAAATTGTATTTTATTTTTTGAACTAAATCAAAACTAAAACCTTAATTTCTAATTTCCTCCCAGGCCCTCTGCCGCCTGCCATGGTTCTTGTAAAGGGCATCGCTGAGGTCATAGAGGTTCTCATAATGGCCATCATTGGTTCTTGTGGGCCCTCACCCTGTAGATGAAAGTCTCAGCATCCAGCATGGACATTTCTGAATCCTCCCTTTTGGTTACAAGGTTGAGGTTGCTAATTGGGTGCAAAAAGACACAAAAAACGTGCTAAAATGCTTGTGTCGCTTGTTTTCAGGCGGTCCCATTGAAGTCTATAGCAGCGGTCGCCAAGTGGTGGTCCGCGAGAACATTTTGGTGGTCCCCGGGCCCCTCTGATGCCGTGCAGGCTGGGCCGTCATTGAAGCGGCATGGATGCTCCGGGGCTGCCTCTCACTGACTCAAGCAGCGGCTGTCACAAGGAATGCGCAGCTCTCAGTACAGTGCAAGCTCTGCAGGAGGCGGGGCATCTGGTCAGTACCCGGACTGAGCAGGATGCGGGACATAGAAAAAGTGGGGAGAAGCCAGGTAATAGTGGCTCAGTGTGGGGGAAGGGGAAGCACGAGGGTGGTTGGGGGCAATGCTGGAGCTAGGGGGGCATGTGCCCCGGGCGCTGCTTTCAGGGCCAGTGGCAGGTTCGATAGGGGGAGAAACAATTAATATTATGACTGGGCCGGGCGGGCGGCATATATGAGGAAACAAAAAATATGAGAATATATATTTTACAAAATATTCGTATTAGTGGTCCGCGGGATTTAAAATTATGAATTTAGTGGTCCATGAGGTCCGAAAGGTTGGCGACCACTGGTCTATAGGGCCAAAAATGTACGATTTTGCCCCCAAAAAAGCTCATGTACTTTCTTGCATGACAAGCGGTAGCACGGCGCTTAGGTGTGAACAGGCACCATGGAATATCATGTTAGGCGTTGTTGTGCTTCCGGAAACACGTGACAAGTCGCTCATGGGTGAAAAAAAATACTGCTTGTCTCATTTTCTCTGGTCTGGAATGCATGGAAACACATAAACGCACACAAATGCACTGGACTGCACCCGTAAGCCCATTTTAGGGCCCATTCACACCCCATCCATATCTCCTGACCAGACCCATTTGAGGGCCCATTCACTAAAAAAAAATTCTGCCCCGGGCGCCCAGAACTCTGGTTACGCCACTGGGCCCATTCACATCTTTTTGGAGCCTGCGGGAGCAGGGATCAGGTAAGTAAGTAAAAGCCCGTTACACCATACACGAAAACAAGCAGTTGACCTTTGTAGAGTGGGGATAGCCCCACTGCAAGGGGAGGTTTATTTTTTTTACCTGCTGTAGAAGGAATGGTCTACCTTCTACAGTCCACTGGATGAATTCCATTGTTGACCCAATATGTATAGGAGGCAGGGATTAAATCACTCTTCTTAAAACCTTTTGTATCTGTACATCTGTAAAGCTTCTAATTCATCCAGGTCATTGTGTATCTGTTAAAATAAATCAAGGCAACTGGACTTGCTGTATTTTTCTTGAACGCGTTTCGTTGGTCATCTGACTAGCTTTCTCAATTCAGAATGACTTGTACAAAATATCTCTGGGAATAAATGTGGTGAATGTTGCTCCAATTGATAGAATCTGTTTATGATAACCAGCATGGGGTTAGAGACCTCATGGAGGTAAGGTGTTGATTGCATTTGCATGTAACACCTTTTTGTGTATAAATATACATTGTATCTGTATTTTCTCTAAGTCTCCTCGTGCATTTAGACGCCAGACTAGCATACAAAGGGTTACCTACTGGGCATGGGATGATATTTCCACATTGCACATAATTTATGATTTTTCCCAGTTTCTTAAAAGCTGTTCAGTGGGAGGCCGGCATCAATATTGCATGAGCTTTCCTTTATCATTCAGTGTTTTATGGTGCATTAAGGTACTTTCCATGTAGCTGCGTGATCTTCTCTGCTCACTGAGTGCGGTGGTGGCAGCACTAACAAAGTACAATGCATGCTTCTCTGGATGTTTCTCTGGACATGACTAATGTACACAGTAAATATTGCGTGAAATTACAGAGAGGAATTCAAATGCAAGCTTAGTCTTCTTTCAAGTATGGTGCGGGAAGACATCACTGTGAAATCATCAGCTTCGTATAGGGGTCACTGCCTGTTTTGTTCCACTATTCCTGTACGGGCGTTCAATATTCTTTGGGGGAGATTTGCAAAACATCACCGAATGCCATGCAAACTTCTAAATTCACTGATAACATTTATATAAGGGAGCTTTTTTTATTTGTATTTTTGTCCAGTACATAAATTTACACAGCCCTGCCATGTCTTTCTCTGTTGATGTCAGATAACTGATTCCGCTATAGACAAATCGCCAGTTGCAGGAACGCTAAGGAGGGTGTCTTTGTGTCCCTGTGGAATTGCTCCTCTGTAGCCAGATGCAGCAAGATGTCTGCAAAATTTCAATCCCTACCAATTGAAGGAGATTCCATAATTCCATAAGGCTAAGAAACAGGCAGCCTCTTATTGATTCTGCAACTGGACATTTCGACAAATAACAGTGGCAGGATCACTATCAGCAAGGTCGCCCGTCTAACATCAGCTTTACTGTTATGAACCGCAGAAGGAATACAGTGGTGCCCCCTTTCCACCCCCAGCCTGCTGACTGGATATAGAATGAGCAGCAGCAGATCAATGAGGTCATCTCTCTACTCCCTCCTCCTATCAGCATGTCCCTTGTCAGCACATTTGCACGCAGTGATTGGCTCCCAGACCTGGCCTTGCTTCTCACAGTCTGAGTGTTGCTGTATAGGGGATTGCAAGATGGTATATATGAAGACAAGTTCAGGCATTTATACTAGCTGCTTTAAAAATATAGGAAATGGTTTGTTAAGGAATACAGTGGCATTAATTTGTGTTTTTATATCTGCCTTGAGTTCTGCTTTAACAATTTTTTTTATATAGACCTAGAATATATGATTGTGATGGCGGCATGGGTATTGTAATGCTTGGGCACAACTACAAAAATGTATTGTGCGCGAGAATTGCAGTCAATCTGCTCGGTGTGCCCAAGTGGACATGCTGAAAAATGAAATTACAGTTGTTCATGGAATAGCATGCTGTCTATGTGAACAACTATAAATGATTATTATTTTTACAATTCACTCACAGCTAAAGCCATCAGTGGTTAAAACGTTAGATTTGCAGTTAGCGGTGGGCTTGAACAGCATTATTTAGTACATTAGTCCTAATGATGGTAAAAGAAAACATTGACACATCTTTTTTTTGTTTCCCTTTTCTGTAGCAGAGTCTGGAGATGTCACAGTCATCCTGATCACCTTGACCACTTGTCTTCAGCGGACGTTTCTCTCTGTACGGAAGACATACAACAAGCTTGAACAATGTTCCATTACGCTACAGTGTTACCTGCTTCAGATCTCCTGCTTGTCCATATTATCGGTGGTCATTCAAGGGGACATTTCCTCTTGCAGTTTGGATCTGATACAACTGCATCTTTGCACTACAAATATTCTGCCCTGCCTTGCAAGGACACAGCATCTGTTAATACGGAGGACAGTTCATCTTGAAGAAACAGGCCAGTTATGCGGAAGGGATATGTTGCTATAAAAGGGGAAGTTCTTCCAAATGGGATATTTCAGTTTTTGGTGGATGTTGGCACATTAAATCACCCACTGGCTGCCTTTACCGGTTGCTGACATTGATGGCAAGACTTGTGCACAGTTTTGATAAAGTGCACAACACACTTCCACATTAGGGCACACGTAACTTAAAAGAGGACTATGGGGTAACCTTTTCCCCCCGTGGTTCTCTTTAGGGTCACGGGAGGACATATACTAATGTCCTCCCGTGACCCAAAACTCAGTATATAGCAGGCTGTTGCTCGCTATATGCTGAGAGCGCTGCAGCCAGGATGGATCCCAACAATACTGGCCAGATCCACCCAGCTTGCTTATTGACATCGGGCTCTGCCTATCTAGAGGCAGAGCCAGCTATGCCCGCCCTCTCCCTCGTCTGTCACTCCAGTCAGGGCTGAGGGGAAACCCTGCCGCGAGAGGTAACTGAAGGTCACTGCTCTGCAGGGAGATGATCTGGAAGTCAGCGATTGGCAATATGATGTTCACTGACTTCCCGATCAATAGAGCCGACCTGTGACAGCTTCTTTGGTCACAGGTCGGCATGAATTATGAGGATGAGTGTTTTTCACTCACCCCATGGTTCTCCTTGAACTGTGCCCTTCCCTAGCACTGCCAGCATGATCTTTTATCCCCCTGCTCTGTCCCCCACCACCGCCAACACTGCCTTTGTCACTTCCAGGCTCCCAGCCTTCCTCTTCCCTCACTGATGATGCAACTCCTGCACATGCACACAGGAGTTACATCCTCCCTGACATTAGGCAATGTGTACACTGCATGGGTAATGCACCATACAGTGTACAAAAAAATTAAACATTGTTGGGGGAGAGAGGAAGAATTTGTTGGCAGAAGAGACTTTGCATGTCCCTTCTGCTAAAAATCCCTACTTCCCAGCAATTTTTATTCTTGCCATTTTTATTCAGCTTTAAGTGATACTATGGGGGCAGGACAAAAGCTGGAAGCAATGCACAAAGAAGGAGGCACATAAAAAAAGCTCATACACTGGTATAATACATTGCGGTGTGCTTTTGTAGGAGCCTCTGTGCCTCCACCTCCTATGGAGTGTTTGTTGTGGTGAGACAGATACAGTGACTGCATCAGTGATCGAGCACATGGGGGTCTATTCATTAAAAATTTGCATAGCTTATTCATCCAGCGAAACTTTATTGTACATGTGAGAACTGTACAAAAATAAATGTTCTTAGTGTAATTTTTCTTCTGGTCAAACTTTCTTTAAAATGTTCAATCATACATTACAAAGTGAAATACCACATTGTGGCCACTAGATGGATACATTGTATCTCATGTATTTCTTCCCTCTGATCCTCAGCTCCATCTAGTGGCCATAATGTGGTATTTCACTCTGTTCTGTACGAATGAACATTTTGAAGAACATTCAACCAGAAGAGAAAAAACTTTAAGAACATTCATGTTTGCCCCATTCTCACTGGCTAAATCACAAAAAAAATAAGTGCACATGTGGATTTGCGGGAGAAAACAACTATGCTAATTTTTTATAAATAGACCCTACGGATTGCCAAAGTATAAAAGATCCAGGTTAGAAGCACAAGCTCCTCTTTTAGTGGCAGATCTAGAAAGATATAAACAGACAATGGAGGATTTAATGCAGTAACATCCACTTATAACTGAAATACGAGGTGGACATTATGGTGCTATCTGGTTGTACAATCTCCTTTTAGATATAACACAAATCTTTATAGGGTGAGAAGCCTTTGTTTATGTAAGCCTTCCAGCCTACAGAACAATCTATTGCTGGCTTTAGATCAGGGGTGAGCAAACTCCAGCCTTCCAGCTGTTGTGGAACTACAAATCCCATGAGGCATTGCAAGATTCTCACAGCCACAGGCCTGACTCCCAAAGACAGATACATGGTAAGATTTGTAGTTTCGCCACAGGTGGAGGGCTGGAGTTTGCCCACCTCTGCCTCATTGATCCGATGATTTGATACAATTATTGATTCTGATCAAAACAATCCTTTTTATTACAGTTTTGATCGCTTTCCCACCAGTTTTGCAGTATTGAAGATTTAAAGAAGAACTCCAGGTATGGAAAAAGTGAACCCTTGCAGTGGGTCTACCCCCCACACTGCAAGGGTTAACTGCCTGTGTTTCTCTAGGGGCTGGAAAAAAGAAAATACACTCACCTGATCCTCGGTCCTGCAGTAGTCAGCGCTCGCCTCTCTCCCCTTTTACTCCGGTTCTGGAATAAAGTCCCTTGCATCCTCACATCTAATGCAGGTGAATGGACTGTATTAGACATAATGAGGTCAGCGGTTCTTAGACCACTGGGGGAGAAGAGGCAGCGGGAACTGGTCTAGCAGCCAGGCAGAATCAAGGATCAGGTGAGTATGTTTTTTTTATTTGAGCCCCTAAAGAAAAATGAGCATTTACCCCTTGGGGGTAACCCAATTGCAAGGGTTAACGTTTTACTTTGCTGGAGTTCCTCTTTAAGCAATCAGATGGGCTGAAAAATAAGATTTTTTTTTAGAATAGTTTTCTACAGACAGGCTGTAGTGGGTGGAGCCTGCTGGGTCCCTCCCACAGCTCTGCTCGCAGCACAGGGTATATACAGCGCAGTGATGATGTCACTGCTTCGTTCACAAGGTAATATTGGTTTGCAAAATCACACAAGGTGGATTCATATTCTTTGCAGCTATTGGGAAATATATTTCAATTTAAAGTTTTCTGTCTGGACTTCAGCTTTAAACAAAAAAATATTGTTCCATGTATGGCTAGCATGAAGGGGATTGTACGATCAGGTTGTAACATGTGCTGCCAGCTGTAAACCCAAGTCTGAGAAACTCATGGACAAGCAGTATTAGAGATTCCCAATTCAAATGCATCTTGTGTGCCGTATAAGGTTCTGTGTCCACTAGCAGCCCTGATGGGAAGACTTAAAGGGACGGTGTGTCAAATGAGGAGGTTTTTCACACAGCAATCAGCTAATTGTTGTATCTTCTTTCTCCCACCTAGATCATCAAACTCTAAATCTATGGCTACCCCAACCCCTTTACATTTTAATAAGACTTGCCCCATCCAGTTCCTGTAAGGACCTGTTTACAGAGAGGAGTACAACGCAATCACTTTAGCTTTTGTTTTTATTGTGCGCTAAATACTGACAGCTGGATTGGTCGCTATGGGCCACGAGGATATTTTCTTCTCCCTTTTATAAGTATGAGAAAATACTGGAAGCTTTACTGCAGGGGTGGGCAACTACGGCCCTCTAGCTGTAGTGGAACTACAAGTCCCACGAGGCATTGCAAGACGGAGAGTTACACGCATGACTTCCAGAGCCAGAGTCATGTTAGGATTTGTAGATCTGGAGGACCGGAGTTGCCCACACCTGCTTTACCGTGAACCTGTGCTTTGTCCATGTGGGTGAAGTACCAAGTCCCCTTCCTGCTGTTTATATTTACCTTTCCTTTGCGCCTCCTCTGCTTTGTAAAAGCCCCAAGTCGCTCTGATTGGAGCTTACACCCAGCTAAGGACTCCGCCCCCATCCCACGTGACACTGCTCTGGCTTGCTTATAGTCCGCTTTGTGCTGCATTGTGGTGGGAGGGGAGAGTTCCATGCTCCAGGCAAAGACTGAAAGCTGAGTGTTAACAGTGGTGGGGAAAGCAGTCATTTGAGTGAACCTAGTCATTTGCCGTGCATGGACACAGTAAAGGTTCACTTTAAAGAGGATCAATTTTGTTTTTAAGGTATTGTTGAAAAGTAAGACCTGTCCTATTTATAGTGATGTGTAGTGTGTACTGTATCCATCTTCTTTTTGAGGGATTTCTTTTCATAGGGGACAAGATTTTTTTTGAGTAGTGTGTACTGTACTTCTACTTTATTCTAAGCCTACAATAATTCATCCTAGTATGTTTCAGGGTTCTGGGCACCAATTTAACCCACCCTAGAAATACTGGAGCATTAGAGGGAGGTTACACAGCACATAATCATGTGACAAGAGACTGCTGTCCTCCCTAGTTACAGTGTGAACAACCTGATTCATTTGGTTTCAAGGGATCATATCAGACTCAAGTGGCGCAAACTGTGACCTGTTTGACTTCACAGAAATGTACAGCTGAGTTCTAGATTTTACAAGGTGTACAGAGAATACAGGACAATGCAAAAGTCATTGATGAATGCTCAACCAAAGGAAAATAGCAATGTTGCACATACAGTCAGTAGTATCCATTCAGGTACTTTATTTTATTATGCCTACACTACAGAAATGTCACAAAGCAAACCAATGAACAGCCTTGATACTTGATCCCTGTTATTTATTGTGTGCATTTTGCAGAATTCTCCCTTATAACTAAAGGTCTCCACTATACTGCAGATATTGTTCCAGAAAGTTGCCTCTTGAAACAAATACATATCATAATTGTTTTTTTCTTGTGAACGTGGGCTCATTTAACCAAAATGTAGGGTTGACATATAACAAACTGGCCCACACGTGCTGCGGGAAAAATAATCCATGTCATGTAAGTATATTTTACAAACATTCTCCACATGAGGTTTTCTTACGGATCTTGCATTTTGGTGCAAAGTCTGCTTTAAAGATGAACCACAGGAAATTTAAAAATTAACCCTTGCAGTGTGGCTACCCTCTAACTGCAAGGATTGAGTGCTTGTTTTGGTCTAGGGGCTAAAAAAAAGAAAATATATTCATCTGATCTTCAGTTCCACTTGACTGCTAGACTGGTCCCTGCAGCCTCTTCTCCCCCAGGCTCCGGAGGTCTAAGGACCCTTGCCGTCATCATGTCTAATGCAGCTGCATTAGACGTGAGGACGCTGAGGGACATATCACAGCCAGATCGGAGGGTGAGAAAGGTGACCTCTCACCTTCACAGAAACAAGGTTCAGGTGAGCATATCTTCTGTATTTTTGGCCCCTAGACCAAAATGAGCAGTTAACC